CGGTATCTCTTTAATTGATGTGCCATAGTAGGTCCACATGTACAAACCTGAAATGCTTCCCAATTACAGAAAAATATGTACCATGTGGTAGTATTGATGTTATTTTAAAAGTTACAGATTTGTTTTTCCATCTTAATAATATAGAGCTCACTGATTCAAAGGCTATGCTAAGCATATGGAAGCCATTTGAGTAGTTAAATGGAGAGGCAGGCGGGCATAGGTCACTCAGAGGGGGCACAAAGGCCACATAGCAATCAGGAAGTGCAACTTTAAGTCTGTGTATAGCTCAGTTTCTTCTGCCCTTCCTTCCTTCCTCTTCCAGGACATTCCTATGGGACAGTGCTCCTTTGGTGGCCAGATGCACCTCCTATCATTTGCAGGGAGAAGGAGGCTGTGCAGAATAACAGCCACAACTATTTATCAGTGTAAAGCAATGAGATCCAGTCTCTCATCCAGACATGTGAGAGCCAGGGGCTGGAACACCATGCCCCAGGAGTCTGGCCCAAGCTTATTCAGGCCAGGACAAGCCCCTGGCTGGCAGTTCAGGGAGCCGAGTGTGATGTGAGGTTTGATGGGAAAATCCTGAGAGCCCAGCCAACCATTATTAGTTCAACAGACTTGGTGAATTCAAAGAGAAGCAACATCTCCAAGTATACATCCAAGTAGGAAGCAATAAAAGATAAGAAAATTTAAGTAGAAGATAGAAAGAAGTGAGAGACTTCTTATATCAAGGGAAATAAAGTGGACCCAACTGCTTTTTTAGAGGTCTTAGGGGAAGGAGATGTTCAGGATGGCAACGTAACTTGGGCAAGAGACTATTGTAAATTATTCTTCAAACCTAAAATTTTTCTCTATGTTTTAATTTCTTTTGTGTCAATTAAATTGTGCCAATGTACTTTTTGTGTCATTGTTTATGGACATAAACCAAAACATCAGCTGTCTTTAAAAATAGGTGATATTTTTATTAAAAACATTATTCTTACAATGGACTTTTAGGAATGTGGATTAAAATCCAACTGAAACTCATTTTCCCTATTTCTTTCCTTCTCTAGACCTTAGTCAGCATTAAGAATGAACTGTGGAGGATTCGCGAATCCATCAATGCTCTCCACAGAGAAAGAAGGTAGGAACAGAGTGTGGATGCACACACAGCAGGCTGCAGAGATAAGTCAGTAACATTTCCCTTGGCTTTGGAAAAGTTTTCTATAAGGACTTCACTTTGCTCTTTTGTTTTTATTTTGGAAGGAATTCTGTAAGCAGAGAAATCTTGATTCCAACATGAAGGTAAAAGAGCAATTTGACATTACTTGAGTAGTTATGCAGAATAAAAATCAACTGGGTAGTAAATTTTTACTCTTGATTACCTGAGCTTTTTCTTTGAAAGTTGGCTCAGCACATTCAGTGAAGTATTGATTCTTGCATATGTCTTGTGTATGTGTGGCTTATTTCTAAAGAAATCAATACAATTTCTCAAGCAACATCTAACTTTCTCCCAAATTTATTATGTTGATTGGAGACAGCCTACCTTCTCTTCATTGTATGTCAAGAGCAAATCACTCCTTGGGCTTGTCACTAGTTGTCCTTCCTGTAGAAGACAGAATTCCTGGCTCCTCATGCACTACACAGTCAATAAGTTAATGATACTCCCTGTATATGCATAATGAGATATGCTTCATCATCATCATCATCATCATCATCTAATTGTACACAAGATAGGAAATAGTTTCCAAATTCTGTGATCACTCATGTGAACAAACTTAATAAACCCTTCTAAAGTAACTTAAGTGTTAAAATTGATTTTTTTTTACTTCATGGTATGAGAAAAATGTTAAAAATAAAATTAAAGAAAACAGCATCAAAAAGCAATTTTGAAACTTAAAATGTAGAAATAACAAGGAAACTTTGAAAAATTTAGTTCTTTAAAACTTAATTCTTAAAATAATTCTACTACACATGGCATGGGTATCCTAATAAAGTATTTAGCATTACAAAGTTTACCAAAGTGTGGGGCTGATTAACAAAATACAAAATGAAGGCTCCATCTTTGTTCTTGTCTGCATCATCACTGCTCTCAAATGTGTGCAGGACATGGTACTAAAAGGCACAGATGAGGGGCTGGGGTTGTGACTCAGTGGTACATTGCACATGTGAGATACGGGGTTCGATTCTCAGCACCACATAAAAATAAATAAATGAAGATAATATGTCCATCTACAACTAAAAAAATATTTTTTTTAAAAAAAGGCATAGATAATAAGCCAAATAACAATTTAGGATCAATAAGATTTCACGGGATAAAATAGTGAAACAATCAATAAAGACCAAATTTTAAGGGATTAAAGAGAAGTCTTCCAATTGTATGTTCACAATAAATAGTGTAAAAAAAGATGTGATGTATAGTTGACTGCAAGTTCAGTAATAGCCAGCATTATGCCACTGATTATCTAAAAAACAACATGATCTCAGGCTGCGTTAACAGGAAGAGTATCACTCATTTGTTGGTTACTGATTCATCGGTGGGTTCTGTGCTAGGGACTCATCAAGAGAAGTCATCTTTCACTACTCTGTGCACGATTAGCTTGCCTTGGGAGCATCTGGGATTCTTTTAAAGGCCTAGAACATGGTGGACTCAAGCCATTTAGCTCTAAAAAGCAGAAACACATATAAAGATCTAAGGCAGATTTCAGGTCATTTGATTAGAATAATTTCAGATAATCTGAACTGTTTGTTAATAATAGATATCTAACTAGAAAGTAGTGGTAGACTCCCAGCTGCTGCAAATATTTGTATCAGATAAATTGTGTTTATCAAAAACACTCACAAGAAAATCTCTCCTTAAAAAAAATTTTTAAAAAAATTAGAGTAAGTAGGAACTGCATTTCTGATTAGCCTCTGTCTACTTTCCCCTGGATTATAGGGAATACAACACATGTCTCCTAGATATTCAAACACGGTGGATTGGCCAATGAGGAGGCAGGGCTCTTAGTGTAGACAACATGGGAGAAAGAGAGACTGTTGTTAGAGATTAAAACAAGCACAACACCTTAGGTACAGAGAGCACTGTACTCAGAAGCCTCCTGAGATGGTTTCTTTGTTGTCGGTTATATAACCCCTCTGAGCTGACACCTTCCTGAAAACCCCATCCTATGTACATACTCAACACTCCAGTTACAGTCAAGGATTTTAGAGTAGAACTCCTGTCTCACCTAAGTGACTGTCTGGAAGTTTAAGGGCTATTTTTCAGAGACATCTGCTGTGGGTAGGAGCCCAAACTGTACCAAAGCCTCTCCAAGCCTCTCCTCTTGAGTCTAAGAAATTCAAAGGTTCTAACTTGAGAAATGGTACCTTTCTCACCAGATAGCCAATTTCTCCCAAATTCTACACATATGCCAATGACACTGATTAAAGAATAAGATTACATGCAGACAATTTTAATTATGTAACTACTATGTGACAGGGAATGTTTTAGGTCAGGTCCTGGGGACATGGTAGGAAACAAAATATGAAAAATGTTGTCAGAATCCAGAGACAGAAAGCAATTAAAGAAGTAATTGAGTAATATATATGCAAAATAATAAGCAAAACAGGTAGTATGTCATAGAGCATGCTATTCAGAAGCTTAAAAGGTAGAGACTCTACCAAAATCTGAGGTCTCTTTGAGCTCTGGAAGCAATTAGACATGGGGATAAAGAAGGGAAGGAGATGTTCAGGGTCAGAGGAAAGGTTGGGGTCATGGTTTGTGATTTCTACTGGGCATTAGGGAAGGCCTCGTTGAAAAGAGAGCTTGTTAGCTAAAATTTGAAGTGGGTGGGGGAGTGAACCAAGTAGGGACCCGAAGAGGAAAAGGGGGTCCAGGCAAAGGGAGCTATCTGATGAAAGAATATGCCCTGGTGTGTTCAAGATAGCCCTGTGTGGCTGAAGGGCAGTAAGTGGCCAGGGAAAAGCAGATGAGATGAAAGGGAAGGAGGGGTTTGACCGTCTCATGGAATTAACTCACCTTTGTAAGGACTTCAGTCTATGCCAAGTAAGAGGGGAGTCACCAAGATTTGTGTGTTTGGTTTTTATACCAGGGATTGAACCCAGGGGCACTTAACCACTGAGCCACATCCTCAGCCCTTTTTATTTTTTATTTTGAGACAGGGTCTGCTAAGTTGCTTAGGGCTTCACTAAGTTGCTGAGACTGGCCTCTAATTTGCAATCCTCCTGCTTCTGCCTTCTGAAATTCTGGGATTACAGGTCTATGCCACCATGCACCACTTATCAAAGGGTTCTGATGAGAGAAATTACATAATCTGCCTTATGTTTTAAAAAGAATAATCCCAACTGCTTTGTTCATTCTTGAACTAATAAATGGTTAGAGAGGAAGAGAGGCCAAAACAGATCCACAACTCATGAACTGTATAATTGGTCCTTCCCTGTAGTCTTGGGTATTCCGTGTTTAGCCGTGTTAGGTATACTATCTTTCTGAATGCAGTGTTTCTAGAACAAAACAATAATGAATAAAGTAAATATTCATATTTAAGCAGCTGGTGAAACTATGCTGTCAAAAGTAATCCAAGCTGGGCATGGTGGCACCTGCCTGTAATACCAGCAACTCAGAGGCTGAGGCAGGAAGATCGCAAGTTCAAAGCCAGCCTCAGCAATTTAGTGAGTCCTTAAGCAACATAGTGAGAACTTGTCTTAAAATAAAAAAGGGCTGGTGATGTAGTTCAGTGGTAAAGCGCCCTTGGGTTCAATCCCCAGTACCAAAGGAAAAAGTCATCTGAGACATGCCTGGTGAGTTTTCGAAAATATCTCTAATGTCAGTGAGGTTCTCAGGGGAGTTGCTACATTATGGACACCACGGGAGCTCTGTATGGTGAACAAAGGCATACAGCAGTGTAGTCAGGTTAGCCAGCAGTCAGGGCACAGGCTTGTCTGTAGGAGGACCTGGAGTACATCTGGTTCCAGCTCTGGTAGGGAGCTGGCCTCACCTTTCCAAACCACTCTTCCCATTTCAGAGTCCTTAAACAACAGTTCAGCCAATACAAAGAAAAGTTGCAAGCATTCTACACCTACCAGGAAGAAAAGAGTTGCAGATTCGAAACAAAGATTCATGCACTTACAATCCATCAGGAGAGTCTATGGACCAGGCTACAGCAGGTGGGACAGGACCTACAGGTAGAGAATGGCGGGGGCGGGGTGGGGGGCACTGGCCACCTGGACCACCTGAAGTCTAACCTGAGATCCTCCTGCCAAGGGAGAGAGGCAACCCAAAGCTTCACACCTCACATGGCTCAGCCTCAAGAGAAGAGGCCCTCTTCTCCCCATCCCCTAACCTCCTCCCACTCTCACTCTCCACTCTGTATCCTTCCCCTTCTCGAAGACTGCAGCGATGAAAGAAGGTAGGATAGGTAACATCTATAAACAATAGAGCTGGGCAAAGCCGTTCTTTACAGTAATTGTTTCTTTTTCTATTTTTTTTTTTTTTTGTTCTTTTTAGTTACACTTGACAGTAGAATGTATTTTGACATATCACACACACAAGGAGTATAACTTCCCGTTTTTGTGGTTGTACATGATATGGAGTTACATTGGTTGTGTATTCATATATGAACATAGGAAAGTTCTGTCTGATTCATTCTACTGTCTTTCCTATTCCCATCTCCCCCCTTCCCTTCATTCACCTTTGTCTAATCCAATGAACTTCTATTCTTTCTTTCCTGCCCCCTTTTTTGTGTGTGTAAGCATCAGCATATCAGAGATAACATTAGGCCTTTGGTTTTGGGGGATTGATTATTTCACTTAGCATGATAGTCTTCAGTCCCATCCATTTACCTGCAAATGCCATAATTTTATTCTTCTTTATGACTGAGTAATATTCCATTGTGTATGTATACCACATTTTTTTTAACCGATTCATCTGTTGAAGGGCACTTAGGTTGGTTCCATAGCTTAGCTATTGTGAATTGAGCTGTTGTAAACATTGATGTGGCCGTATCACAGTAGTATGCTGATTTTAAGTTCTTTGAGTATATGTCAAGGAATGAGATAACTGGGTCAAATGGTGGTTCAAATCTTCTGGATCCCTCACATATCCTTAAAATTCTTTGAGGATGTCAAAAATCTTTTGTTTCTGTGAGTTATATCTGTTGCTGTTTATAATAATTAAATTTAAAACCTACGAATGTCTTTAATTAATTGGTTAACATATAAAAATAATAATGCAACATTTTTAAACAATAACCTAAATTTTTTAAAGCCTAGCAGAATGGCACTATTTTATATTTTTTACAAATTTCTTCAATATCTTAATTAAAAATATCTGAAATATCATAACTGCTTAGCCATCTCTCTGTTGCAACAGGTTTTGGTTAAAGCCTATGAAGAAATCTGACCTCATATATGATTACAGTTGAAAAAAGGTATTTTCATAGGCTTTCACATAACTGGGGATACTTTTCTTTGGTACTACACCAAAACACAATAAATGATAGTTTCTTAAAGCACAGAGCAATATGGAATCTGAAATGCTGTCTATCTCATACTCTGTTTCATTACAACCCAATGTTCTAGTATGTTCTTTGAATAGTCTACCCATGCATGATTTTGTTAACAAACTACATCGGTCATTTGAAAAATATTGGTTCACTGATGTTGAACTTCCTAAGCTCACCTATTTTATTATACAAAAGAAATTCACACTCATTAATATAATATCACCACTAATTTCATCAGAAAATTATAAAGCTATCAAGGTCATGGTGAGAAATGCAAGTTTTTCTAACTTCTGCTGAGAGTTACCATTATGATTGACTACAAATACGGTTCATTGTTGTCCTTGCAGTGACATTCTCATTTTGTTCCTTTATGAACAAAAAAATATTTGCAGATACACAGATATGAAAAATCATAGTCTGTCTGTCAATCCTTCTTTGGCCCAGGAGGTAACCTTTGTATTCTGCATGATGCATCTGAGATGTTTTATATACACTTCTCATTTCACCACACACAATATTAAAAAGGCAAGGGTTATTGTTATTAAAATCAAGAATTTTTTATATTCCATCAAAGGTACTCTTCCATGGAACTTTTTATTTATTTATATTTTTAATCAGGTAGTGTATGATGTTGAGAGAGACCCTGTTGGCTCTGTGTGGTAAAGCTGTCTTGACTCCTGCTCAGACACTGACAGCTTTACTTACCATTAATTTTGTACTATCAGTGCAAACATCAAATAACACAGAAGTATCATTAAGAACAAAATTTTACTTCACAGACCCTTAAAAGGGTCTCAGGGATTTCTAGGGCCTGTGGACCAACCACACTTTGAGAACTGTGCTTAAAATAGAGCACATCCCTAGATTGTATCCCTTGGCTTATTGTGAACCCCTCACAACACAACCACTACAGGATCATGATGAGCATGTTTTGTTGTGATTATGTATATTATTAAATTATATGTCAATTCAACATATGCTTATGTTTTCAGAAATTCCTTATGATGTTTTTAGAACCAGGAATTTTTTTAGAACCTAGATTTTACCTCCCAAATCTTGTGATTATTACCTGTGAAATTTTATAATCTGAGCTGTTCCAAATCTTGGAAAGAGTTATAGATTGATATTGAATTAACAATATAAAATATAATTAATAATATATTTAGAGAGGAAAAAGAAATGTTGTATTAGCATCTCCTGTTAGATGATTGAAATTTAATGCTTTGGGGGAGAAAAGTAAAATAAATTTTAATTCTTCATAAATAAGATTTTTCTCTACCTAGGCAATGTTGCAGCCACTCCATCCTGTATCTTCCCATCAAAATACAATGTCCAGGGTTGACCATTTTTCAGCTGTTAAGCCTCTGGATGGAGGTGATTTTTCTCAAATGAAGAATGTCACTGAGAATAGTCCAGAATGGGAACCTCTTCCTAACCCTGCCATAGTTAATGGAAGTCAAGCAGATGCAGAGAATGCTCTACCAAATTTGGAATCATCAGAGACTCTTCTGCAAAGCACCAGACTGCAAAGCTATGCCCAAAATATTCCCAAGGAAATCCTTAGCTCCCTACCAAGCTGTCAGGAGGGATTGCTACAGGAAGACCCCCAAATTTCTCCTCCTGAAAAAAACAGACCTGCTCGGGTACCTGCAGAAAGAAAAGAGATGGCTAACATCAAAGAGAGAAATGATGATCTGGAGAAAGAGGAAGTCCAAGAACTATTGTCAAAATTCATGAATGCCTTCAACCTAGAAAAGACACCAGGTAAAGTTTTCCCCATCAATAGAGAAAGTAATGACCAGAGATTACAATACTTGATTTTATAGTATCAGACCAATGGGTGCAGTTTATCTAGTCTGTAACATTATTCTGAATCTTTTGGACATCAGTAGCATCTCTGAACTTGATTCCTTCTGTTGACTAATTCATAGGATTACTGTGAACATAAAATCATGCAAGATTTTAGAACAGCACCTAGCACACAGTAAGCATTAAATAAATTCTTATTATTTTCTTATAGCACTTATTAGTATCTAATAGCACTTATTAGTATCAGCCTTAAATCATATATACCTGTGCAGCCTGGTATCATGATTTTAAAATGGGGATAATAATGTTGTTATCTTTCTGAAGAAGAATTGATTAACTTTCTAAATTAGAAGAAGCTTGATCATTATAATCTCCTTCATAAGCTGTGATCCATTGCTAAATTCTGAAAGCCTTTCAAGAAACCCTTAACATAGTTATTTCTTCTGCTTTGGAGTAACATTATCTAAAATCTAGGGAGAACATATATACTTTTGAAAAAGTCTAAACTCTTGTATGGTGGACGATTTATCTAAAGACTCATGGTAAAATGAAGCATAACATTCTCATGTATGAATGTTCTCAAAATACTTCTGATTTGGGGGTTGGAGTGTGGTTCAGTGGAAGAGTTTCTGCTTAGCATTTGTGAGGCTCTGGGTTCAATCCCAGCAACACACACAGCAGTTTCTGAGTTGGTTTATTAGTTTGAGTTTTTATAACAAAGTACCACAAACTAGTAGGTGACTTAAACAAAAAAGAAAAAGAAAAATAAGGAAAAAAAGAAAGAAAGGAAAGGAAGAAAGAAATTGATTTTCTCACAGTCCTGGAGGCTAGAAGTTCATGATCAAGGTATCAGCAGCACTGTCCCCTGCCCCAGGCCTCTCTCCTTACCCTGTTGATGACCGTCTTCCACCTGTGTCTCTATGTAGTGTCCCTTCAGCATATGTTTAAGTCCAAATTTTCCCTTGTTATAAAGATAACAGTCATATTGGACTGGGGCCTATCCTAAAGACCTCATTTTAACTTAATTAACTCTTTAAATACCCTGTCTCCATATACAGTCAGTCACATTTGGAGGTATTGGGGTTGACTTCAATATAAATTTTACGGATGAGGGGACACAATTCAGCTCACGACAGCCGGAGAACTATAAATTAAGCACATGATAACATCAGTTTTTTATTTGGTAAAGTCAAGTCAATGAGCTGATTATTTGGTGATTTTCAAAAGCTCTATAGTAAATGGAGTTGGAGTTATAATCTTAGTATTAAAGGAAATGAGTTCACAGTGATATCAGAGCATGCTCTGTCTGCCTGAGACAAAGACAAGATGGGAACTCCTTGTGCCTGGTTCTTAAGCCAACAAAAAATTCCACCTTGGTATTTCCATCTAAATATACTTGGGGTCATTATGAGCATTCAAAGCAAAGTCAATATCCACTTGACCTTTTTCTTGAAAATTTTCATATAAATATTGGACTTTACAGAAAAGGATTTTAGTATTTGACATCTTCTTTTTTGTTTTTATTTGTTTCTCCAAATAAGCTGATGAAAACTGTTGATTACTAAAACGTTGTGTTGGATCAGCTCTCACAAATGTAGTTATTATAATACACATTTTATATTTATAATACTAGGTATACTACTTCTTTTTGGAAGATAATATCTCAATATTTCCCTAGTTTACTATCTGAAGGTAAAGGATTTGTGCATATTTTAAGTGATTTATCAAGGTCTCTATATAAATATATCTATCTATACATATATAATTATATCATTAAAGGAAAATCATGAGTAAATATATATTTCTAAATTCAGGTATTGTGAGAATGTATCAACATGTAATTAATATTATCCAATCTTGTAGAAAATATTTAAAAATCTCAACAAATTCATCTGTTTCCACTTACAATCTCGATAGAATATAGATGTTTTATAGGAAGCATGTTCTATAAACATGCTTATGATATTAGCAGAAAAATGCTTGTCCTTTTGTTATTATATACTCACTACTTTGTGATGATTTGACAAATACTAACTTTTAAGATTTAAACTTATAGACTACAAAGTCTATTTCTTTTGTATTAGCGGTATTTCTTTGAGACCTCTAAACTTACAGTATAAACATGTTAACCTTCATGGCTACTGTTTTGCACTGTCACTCATCACTCAAATATTTCTACTTAAGCTAGGATCCTTATTCAGTATGGTATTGAATATAATCCTGTTTTCAATTCCAATTAGCCATTGGCAATTTCTATTATAAAATTATACTTCATTCATTCTACATAATCTATACATGCTTGCAAGGTTACATCAAACTTACTCAAAGAAGTGTGGTGAAAAGGTGGAAAATGAAATGAGCTAAATTGAGGTAATGGTTACCTTTATTTACTCTATTTTTATCGTGGAAACATTAGATAACAGCAGGAAGTTTTGATCTCTTTACTGTTTGATTTTTTTAAAATTAGAAAATTGTTGGACAAATTAGAAATACTTACTATTTATAACATTCTAAGATTGACTCAGATGAAGTATTGACATATTCACCCATTGTGGTGATTATCCCAGTAGTTGACTGCCCTTTTAGATTACAGATTCACTAAGAAGTTACTGTATCTTGGTTATTGAGATGAACTTCATGATACTTAAAGGCTTAATAGGATTAAAAAGTAAACCTTATGATGATTTTTAGGCAATCGTTTGACATTAATTGAATAGAGTCATTCAGCATTAAGATCTAAGAAAAAAGGACTTCAAAGATGATGAGAGCATAATGAAAAGAGACAGTTATGTGTAAAGAGGTCCCTTAACCTCTTTAAATTCTGAATGTTGGATTGAAAATCAATAGGAAATAAATTTGTTAAAACTTACAGTAAAGAAAGTAGATTTGTGGGCTCAGGTTGTGGCTCAGTGGTAGAGTTCTTGCCTAGCATGTGTGTAGCATTGGGTTTGATTCTCAGCACAGAAAGAAAGAAAGAAAGAAAGAAAGAAGATTTGAAATCTTCTGTTTAATACTCTTTGCTTCTGTTTTATTAAACTGTTTGCTTTCCATCTGAGAGTGAAATTTCCTGTGTACATGTACTAAATTATTTTCAGTTTCTATCTCATCCATTTTTGCAATACATTTGTCACTGTGTATTTCAGTCATGAGGAGGAAAGACAGAGGAGGAGGGTGGCAGAATTAGGAGAGCATGGTTTAAGAACAAAGTTGGCGGTTTAGACCAGCATGAAAGCACCTGGAATAGCTCCTCCTCAAGGCTGAGTGCAAAGCATGCAGGCTAATAATACTTAAATCTCATCTTTTTACTCAGGAGAGAAATAGTTGGACTATGCATCCATCATTCTAATACTTCTGGGGACTCTCTTAGGGACCAGATTTTGCATTGCCTGTCTCAGAATACTGATAGTACTTCTCATACACTAGAGGCCTGAGAGTTGCTAAGAACAAAGGTAGCAGTTGGGACTAATATGAAGACTTGAGAAGCTCCCAAAATTTCTGACTAGACTGATTGCTGAGGATCCTCTTCTGTATGAAAAGACATGAAGAGTATGCATTAGAGTCCCTGACCTAGAAGTGGCTATTTTTTCTACTGTATATATACGAATACAGAGTAAAGAAAGGTGAAGGAGCATGGGAACATGGTACAAACAAAGGAATGAGAATGCTCCAGAAAAGGACTCTTAAGAAACAGAGGTATATGAATTACTTGACAGAGAATTCAAAATAGCCATTATGATGATGTTTATGAGCTGAAGAGAAGAACAAAAAGACAATTTCAACAGAGATTTAAGCTTTAAAGAGACCGAATAAAAATCTTGGCACTGAAAAAATTCAATAACTTAAATGAAAATTTCAGTACAAGAGTTAAACAGCAAACTAGAATCAAGCAGAAGAAAGAATCAGCAAACTCAGAGTATTTGAAATCATCCATTCAGATGAGAAAAATAGGGTATGGGGGGGCAGGTAAATATGTTTGAGACAAAAATACCATGATACTGAAACAGTGATGTATAAATCACTTTCAATTTCAATGCAAAAGTATTAAAAATAATTATAACTATAAAATGTTTATGATATACAATATTAAAAGGTGTGACTTTTTCAGTAACATAAAATATGGTGCAGCAATTAAAAGTAAAGAGTTTTTCTATGCAATTGAATTTATTATCAGCTAAAAAAAGACTTTTATAACTGCAAGATGTTTGATGGAAGTCTCTTGGTAAGCACACACAACAAAACCCACAGAAAATATACAAAATAAAATAAACCACAATAATGCAAAAAAAATTGAAAAGAAAGGAATATGGTAGAATAGGAAAAGGAAGATAAAAAAAAAGCTGTAAGACAGAAAACTAACAAAATGGCAAAGCAGTACTTCCCCTCCAATAATCACTTTAATTATAAATGAATTAAAGTTTCCAAACAAAATACATAGAATTGCTGAAAGGATTTAAAAAATAAACAAATAAAAAAGAGACCCAGCTCTGTAATATCTATAAATAACTTACTTTATATTTAAGACTGAAAGTAAAGGGATAGAAAAAGATATTCCATTATAAAGAACCCAAATGACATCAAGAGTGGTTATCCTCATATGATTCAAAATAGATCTTAGGTCAAAACTGGCACAAGAGAAAAAAAAGACACATAATGATAAAATTGTCAATTCCTAAGGAATACATAATAATTCAAGTACTTTACATCAGAGTACCTAAATACATACAGCAATCATTGGCAGAACTTAAGAAATACACAGTAATTCAATAATTTTAAGAGGTTTCAATACTCTTCTTTCAATAATGTATAGAACATCCAGACATAAAGTCAATAAGAAGACAGTGGACTTGAACAACACTATAAACCAAATGAACCTAAGAGACATGCAGAATGTTTCACTCAACGGCAAGATAATATATGTTCTTCTCAAGTGCACATGGAACATTATCAAGGATAGG